AAAATACTTTTAAGTACTAAAGACCAATTATTACCATTACTTAAATTTTATTAATTTAGCCTATTGACATTATATCTTATATATAAAATTCTCGTGTCACAGTTTTCGTTCCCATACTCCTCCGAAACGGCTTGACCGATTCTCATGAAATTTTGTGAGCGTATTGAGTAGGTCTGAGAATCGGCCAACATCTATTTTTCGTACCCCTAAATGTTAGGGGTATTCCACACCTAAATTTTTTTTTATTATTTAGACAAATTTTATGATACAACATACAAAAATACAATCCTAAATTTTCACCCTTCTATCATCAACCCCTATTTTTTTATAGCGTTATTAATTTATATGGCAAAACATCTTTTGCCGGGACAGCTAGTAATAATATAATTATAACAAGTATAGTACTGAGTCCTACTGGTATTTCCAACTTCAAATCCTAGTTTTTTAAATTTGATGTTGGCAACCCTATCGTAAACACTATGGCGCCAAATGGTTAGTAAAAAGGCAGTAGTCTGGAGCTTTTGGGAAACCCAACGATGAAGGCTCGACGGAATACTGGGGAAATGTAGGATGTGTACAACCAGGAAACATCGATTGTTTTGGGATTTCCTGTGACGCTATGATCATGGCTGGCAACACTGGCGATGCTTCAGATGGTAACATTTCAATGATTCCACGAATCAGTTCATTACATGTGCTTCAAGTTATCGTTTAAGGAATTATGTATACAAAATCATTAAACATTTCAAATACCACTGGCATACTGGCTGAGTGTAATATTGTATTTAGTCCTTATTACTATAAGCAGAAAGTTTTAAATGCCTAACTGGCACATATGTTAATCTCCAACTGTGCGTAATATTTATATAATTACTAGATACTCGCCCCGGCTTCGCCCGGCTGTACATGTACTATATACATTCCTCTAGGATCACTCTAAACCGCTTCAAAATCCGTTGCGTAGTTTTACAGATTTCAGCATACATTGGGACAGACAGCGAAGTTTTACTGAATTACATATAATCAAGTAGATTCATAATAAATATGTTAGAATATTTTAGTCTAAGAAAAATTTTAGAAAGTAAAAGAAATTTTTATATTAACTATGTTTTTTTTCACCTTGAACTTCCTTCTTCCGGTTTGTTTGTCTATCATAAATCTTGTCTTAGGTTCTGATACGTTTTTTTAAATAAATAAATTCATATTCATTTTAAATACATAGCACTGACAATATTATCTGATTACACTAATAATGAGTGCGTAGCGATTTCTATGTTGATTATCGCATGCCTCTTACTTGTTACACTGTAATTATTTATATAACAAAAACATCTATTAAAAAGAGCAACACACAAGTTTCTTGCTCTTTCTTCTTGTGATGAATCTGCATTCCGAATGAGCGGTAGAATCAAAATATGACTATTCAAAAGTGCTTGTTGATTAGTTTATTTGAATAAAGATTATTTCTATTTCTATTTCATAAGTTTAAATTAAACCATTTCCACAATTGTCATCTATATATTTGTCTGTATATACCCTCTCCTGTATCTCTTTTGTTGGACTGTATTTATATCTATTATCGCCTTGTCATTTGTGTACCATCTCTATTTTAGCTAAATGTGTATTTTACATAAATATTAATTTATATCAATTTATTATATACATATTTAGTATATCATATCATAAATCATGTACAACACGGCAATACAGCACCCCAGGTCTTGTGCTGAAAAACAGCGTTGCAGCGCTCCAGCCGCTGCAGCATTATGCTGAGCACGGACCTATTCAGTAGATACACGTAATTTGTGTACTGTTTTTTTTTTTGTAATTTTTTTTGTAATTGTCGCACTGTTATACTTGTTTTTTTGTTTGTTTAATGTGTGTTTTAGTTTTTTCTTCTACTGAATAATTTCATTTCATTTCATCAAAATACTATTTAAAAAAATAAGGCCACAAATTAAGGAGGTCTCCATTAATGAGTGTACGTGTACCGCAAGGGTGTCTATTAAAAACAAATATATTGTGCCCACAGCACGGGGCCGTTGGATTGACGAATAGAAAAAAAAACAGTGTGATGTTTGCCGTGCCGCCGCGCCGTAAGCATTAATAATGTTGTTTAAAGATGGCGGCCGAGGAATGTGCGCGCGCAGGCTGAGGGACCAGCTCTCATAGGGCGGGTAAACATCGAAGGTGCATATATCGATATTTTACGGTTTTTATCGGTAACACGATTGTGTCCGTAAAACGTAAAGTTATCGATATTTTAGATTTTATCGATAAAACTGGAGCCGTAAAATGGAAAGTGTAAGTAAATTTTACAATTCATAAATAATTGATTTATATCGTAAATTGTTTTACTTAGTCATACATTCAAAACACTGATATGATTAGTCAATCATGTTATATCTGTTATCATTAGGTATTAACTTTTGAACTACACTGAACAACAGTAGTTGTTCATGCATGGAATTTTTATTAATGATAGACATAGACACATATATAGGTATACGATGTAAATAATGTGATTTAAAACAAAAAAAGAAATACAGTTGAGTTCCTTTTGTAATTCACTGTCAGTTCTTCTAAATTATATCTGTATATGGAATCGGATGGTAGAGAAAAATATTAATGAAAAAAACTTAACTTCATGAATCGTTGAACTATTTATCGATAAATAAGTGGCTAAAATGTCCTACATGAATAAATGATTTATGAATTTAAATACAAGTCAATCGGTTTGAATATAAATCAGAAAGTACATTTTCACTACAATTGTGTGTTTGTTTTATAGTGTAATTTTTCTAAAATAGCCTGCTGAGATATTGATCGTGTCAGCCAATCACGTGTCAATATTTATCGAGTGTGGAGTGCGCGGGCGCCGGTCGCCTTCCGCGGCCAGATCTCCACATATTTAATTAGCAACGATAACGCTATTTGCGAACAAGCGCGTGGTTATCGCAATAATTATCTGTTTGTAAAGCAGAAATGAAGTAAACATGTAATTTTCGAGTTTGTATAAGCTTACGTTTATTAATTTTATTACATTACTAGAATATTCAATTGAAGATAAACACGACATTATTTGCGTCAGCGTAAGGATTCATTCTGTTTATCTCATATTTTACAATTAAGTATAATAAGAAATAAGAGAGAGGGAGATAAACTATCTCTTATTGCATTTACACAAAAGAAACAAATGTGTTGGACAGAATTTTGATACACTTAATATGTGGAGTGATATTTTACAAAATATAAAAGTAAAAATAGAATAATCGGTTGATATTTCTATGATTAATCAATCTAAATAAAACATTTTGTTAAGAACTTAAGCTTGTTTTTCCTATTGGTGATTTTGGCGTTGCATTATCGCTTTTTGACAGTATTGTGTGTGGTCCATACTGATAATGACAGCTCTAAGTTTTAAAACAAACAATACTGATAAGATAAATCAGAATAGCGTTGCAAGGATATGGTTTGCGATACATACACTTAGGTACTCACTACTTGCAGTAGGTAGAGAAATATATGTGTTTGAAGAAGGAGTAATAACTGAATACGTGAATGTTTTTCTACAGGTCGTATGTAATTTCGCATACATCCCACACTCACCTCAACATTGAAATCGTATTATTTAAAAAAAAGTATCGACGTAACTTAATAAGAAAAATATTTGGTTTAATTTGTAAGTGCTTTGTATTATTAACTATTTTAAATTAGTATATTTTCTTAGTATATTCTTTTATGACTACTAAATGAGAACCGAGCCGAACTTAATCTATACATCTATACATATAAATAAAATTGGAGTGTCTGTTTGTAATATTGAAATAACCGTTTTGCTGCATGCATATGAATATAAATACAGTACATACACAGAAATAACATTTTTTATAATTTTTGTCTGTCTGTCTGTTCGTTCCGCCTAATCTCTGAAATGGCTGGACCGATTTTGACGGAACATTTTTGGTAGGAAGCTGATGTAATAAGGAGTAACTTAGGCTACTTTTATTTTAGAAAAATAAAGTAAAATTCCACGCGGACGAAGTCGCGAGAACAGCCAGTTCTCTATATGACATAAACGAGTTCAAAAACTTAACGACTTGTATAAATCTAAACTTTACGGATATTTTTTATCGATAAATAGTACAAAGAACATCACTACGCATCCCTAATTTCCAGGAAGAAAGAAGGTCGGGCGCCGCCACGGTCGAATTCCACGATTTCCCGCTCTTTGGACCACATCGGATCCAAGAGCGAAAAGATCTATCTATCAAGTCTACGATCTATTAAATTGAACACTAAATATAAACTATATTAGGTTGATAGTTAAATACTAGATTATAATTATAGGAAATTAGAATTTAATATGAAGAATGTATTAACAATGTATGATTACGGTGACCATTGTTTGTATGTAATAGTGGGACGCGTTGAAAATATAAGAACATAGATACCTACACATATTAAGTCAGTGTTTGTATACATTAAACTGAACAATTTAATAAAAAAAACTACAATATGCTGATAAAACTTCATGTAAAAAAAATAAGGGCATAGGAACACTAAGCCAGTGTTTGTATAATAATAATAATAATCTCAGGACAATTCACACAGCGCCATCTAGACCCAAGTTAAGCTAGCTAAAGCTTGTGTTATGGGTACTAGATAACTGATACATATACATAGATTTTTTTTCCAAGTACATACATATTATACATAGAAAACACCCAGACCGATACAAACAATCATACTCATGAATACAAATGTTTGTGCCGTGCGAGGAATCGAACCCGCGACCATCGGTCGTAAAGCGGAGTGCTAGACCGCTAGACCACCAAGGTCGTCTGTAATATATATTATATATATGTATAAGTACTTTAATCTGATTTACTCAATAAAAAAACTTCATAGAAACCTTGCAGTCACATGATCAATTTAGTATGAATGTAGGTATATAGTTGTATGTACAGATTATATTGTTATTTTATAACTTTACTAACCTTTAGATTTGATGTCGTCCATGGCGTAAAGACTGTATGGTGGAGGAGGGGATTCTGAAAATAAAAAAAAAACAAATTAAAATTTTCATTCACTTAAAAAAAAACTTAACTAAGAACATATATATGTTAGCCAATAAACAGCTATGTGATGTTATTTTAACTAATGCATACAAATACTAGAGGGGGTAAACGTCATTATTAGATATTTTTTTATACATACAAAATATACATAGAAAACACCCAGACCGATACAAACAATCATACTCATGAATACAAATATTTGCACCGTGCGAGGAATCTAACCTGCGACCATGGGAAGTAAAGCGTCGTGCTAAACTGCTAGACTAAAATAATTAAGACTCAGTTAACCACGTAGATGACTATCCAAAAAATCTCCTTTAAGAATACCCTCCAAGGTAAGAAACCTGTTTCCAATTCGTCAGATAATCACTAACTGCATTACCTCGGGGTCAAAATTGAAACAAAAGCAAAACGCTAAAACAAACACCAAATGTTCCCCGGCGCCCGTCCAATTACCTCGCCCGATTCGAACCCAGGCCAGGTAAATGAACAACCTATACTTTAGTTTATAATAACAATTTTAGGTTATTTCAAAAGATTGCTCCATAAAATTGGATTTGGAATGTTCTAATGATTTCCAAATTACATGTGACGCAGGAAATACGATGCACTGTAATAGTTGTGTGGAATAGCAATCAGAGGGACACTTTGTACAAAGTTATCTGAGCAGGTACAACCTTTTTCCGGACTACTCTAATGCTGTTGGCCGCAGCTGGCCTTTACAGCTTTACCGGACGATAGGAGGCGAGTGCAGATGGCACTCCAAACCAAGGAAGGACTTATGGAGCGGCTGAAGGCCAACTCCCGCCTGATGGATACGACTTTAGTCTGAGGGCACCGCTAGGGGTTCGAACCTCAGCTCAGGCCGTAGTAATTTCGTTCACCGTTTGAATTGGATGGGGGATCGATCAGAGAGGGAAACTTATTTTTTAGGCTGCTGATTATATTTGATAAATAAATATGACATTCAATCCAAATAAAATAACTCAAGAAAGTGTTTATGGAAATTCGTCATTTTGAAGTTATGAAACTTTTTTCTTTGGGATTTTTGGGTTAGATTATTTCTTTATTTGTCAAGGTCATTATTCTTCGTGGACGAAGTCGCGGGTACAGCTAGTCTCCGATAAATAAATAAATAACCCTGTACAATTAACACAACGCCATCTAGCCTCACGGTAAGCAGAGCTTGTTATGGGTACTAGACAACTGATATAAATATTTAGTTTTTTTGTGGACTGATGAGCCCATTGTTAGTAATGTTCCATGTTCAGGTTGACATCCACGTGATTCCCTCTAGAAACTAACATAAATGTCTGGTAAATTTTTCACAACGGGCAAACTGACTTTTTTTTTGTGGATGATAATGGAATGGTGCACCCGCCTGCGCTAACGGTTTACACTGGCGGGGCACCAGTGGAGGATGATAAAATGAGCATGAGGTCAGGTCAGTTAGCCCATCGTGACAAATTCACCAGGAATTTAACACGATGGTTTCCAGGGGGAACCGCGTGGAGGTCGACCTGACATGGTACATTGCTAGCAATGGGGTTATCAATCCACATTACTAACAATCACCTTCCACCCCGGGCACTGACTTGATTTCGTTCATCTTATCCTCCACTGGTGCCCCGCCAGCGTAAACCGTTAGCACAGGCGGTTTTGGTCCTAACTGACTAGGCTTGAAAGTAAGTTAACTATTGTCGTTTAAATCCGGAACGCGATCTATTCCATTTTCGGATAACCGCGCACGCGCTATTGGCCATTTCGAATTTCGAACGCCATTAACGTTTTCGAATTTGGAATGCGAATTGTGCAATTGTCATTTGCGATTCGGCGCCAGTGCCGGCGGGACGTGTCGCCGCGGTGCATTTCGACAGCATCGGTGTCGTGTCACCGACAGAATATAAATTATGTGACCATTATACATTACCGATAAATACTAAAGTATAGGTTGTAGGGTATATTTGCCTGCTTTTAACATTATAAAGCTGAAGGGTTTGTTTGTTTGAACGCGCTAATCTCAGGAACTACTAGTTCGAATTGAGAAATTCTTTTTCTGTTGGATAGTCCATTTGTCGAGGAAGGCTGTAAGCCAGCTGTCTTCAACGTTTTACAAATCAAGGGCCAAAATATTTTTTTCTATCTAGCAGGTCACATCATATGTGTTTTATAAGGATTTTTTAATTATATTATTAAAGTTACTTTTTATAACTTAATTGATGTCGTTACTGAGTTACCTATGCTGTTGGAGAGCCTCAGAAAACACATCGGCAGGCCGTAAGTGGCTCGCTTTTTAAGCTATATAACATTACGCTACGACCAATAGAAGCGAAGCATCAGGGAAAATTGTTGCAAAAACGTGGAAAATTATTCATATTTGAGATATCTCATCTCTGACAAATAAACAAATATCCCTGGACAATTAACACAGCGCCATCTAGTCGTACGGTAAGCAGAGCTTGTTATGAGTACTCATATAAATTTAGATTTCCCGCCAGCGTAAACTGTTAGCATAGTTGGGTGTACCATTCCATTGAATATTAAAAAAATTAACATCATGCTCATCTTATCATCCTCCACTGGTGCCCCGTCAGCGTAAACCGTTAGCTCAAACGGGTGCACCATTACATTACCATAAAAAAGCGATGTGGCAGGTCTTACGACGAGAATGGCCATTTCTTTTATCTCAAACGTCAAGCAAAACCGCATAACACGGCTAGTTTGCTATATGCCTACATTGTGACGTACCGTCGCGACACGGCGTTCTAAGAAAGGTTAACTGCATTTGCGCAAGAAATGTTTCAACTTTCTTGTAGTCCGCTCGTGCACCTGCATGTTGATGAGGAATAAGATATATTTTAAGTATAGTGGTTTTTGGGATGGGAACCTAAATGAATGGAATGCTTATAGCTATTTTATTGCATCATCGAACCTTTCCACACTCCCACTAGGCTTCCCAACCCTCTTAGATTGCCGATGAGTGAATGAGAGCAACTCTCCAACCAACCCATGGCCATTCCAACCTCACGGTTATACTGGCCGAAACGCGGGAGGTGCGCTTTCGCACATCTCTCTTGACTCCCTACAAGTTCTACATTCCTTGTCCCTAGTGTACTTTCACCCCTTTCTGGGGCAGTGGATTCCACAGCAACAGCAGTTGAGACTTCGGTGCCGGGCAGCACTCCATCTTCTTCCGGATACTCCCGAGTGTCTTCTGTGTTTCCTGATGCCGCTCTACGTGTTATCCTCTCCGACCTGCTACGCCTCCTATGCCACTGATGCGCGAATTTCCGTAGCCGTCTAAAATTCTCCACCGTAGACACGAGATCCTGGTAGTAGACCGGTCTCTCCTCATTGTTGCCTCGACGTATGCCGTCCAGCATCACCATCCTCACGTCGCCGTACAGCGGACACTCCCACAGGGCATGGTGGACGTCCTCGTCTTCAGCCCCGCAGTAGCAGCCACTCAGCTCGCTGAGCTTCATGGCGTGCAGACACTTCCTAAAGCAGCCGTGTCCAGTGAGGCTCTAGGACGTGTCGTAGTCCGGCTCGACCCACGTAGACGTGGTCGAGTGAATGAGAGCAATAATTTCTCCAGTTTTTCCAAAAATAAAATGCATCTGTCGATCCCTCGTTGCTATTCACTCGCTATGCGCCACTAATGCTTTATGCGAGCTCGCATTCAGCATGATGGAGCAATGAAAGAAACCGAATGAATATTTCTTTAGTAAAAGCAGAGTTCCAAGTACTAACAAACTTCGATTTTCCATGTACAAGTACTAATGTTATATTGAAAGTATACACAAATTAAAAAAAAATTGTCAGTCTTTTTTTTACTAATCTCTGGAACGGCTGGGCCGATTTAAACGGAACTTCAACTTGAAGATAGCTGTTGTTTTAACAAGTAAGTAATACTTTTATTTATTTAAATAAAAATAATCTCTATAGTATAGCTGGTGGAATGGCGTATTTTATATTTATTTTTATTTAAATAAATAAAAGTATTACTTCTTATAATATTATTTATCTTCAAGTTAAAGTTCCGTTAAAATCGACCCAGCCATTCCCAGAGATTAATAAGAACAAATAGACAAACAGACTGCCACTTTTTTTTAAATTATACTTTTATGTATCTATTTATAAAAGTATATACTTTCATATGCATTTAGTGATAAGCTGTTAATTTGTAATTACAAACATTTACTATAATTTACTTGTATATATGTATATAAAAGTATATCAAGAGCATCTTAGGTAATGAGTTGAAATGATAAACGCATCCAAAGAAAAATTGGATGCAACATACAAGTATGACTACAACGGACAGACATACCATTTATTAGTAGATAACAAGTATCAGTTGTTTAATATAATCTCTTACATATACACAAATACTCTATAACAAACAGAAATCAACCTTATCTGTCAATCATAAGAAACATTTTCACAATGACCACACAAGTCGCATCTAACCTTCCTCCGATATGTTTTACAGCATAAATGAAGTGGCGTGACTGAAACTTCTTACGGACGTATTATGTCACATTAACCCTACCATATTAAAGGAAAAAAGACCCTATATTGACTATTGTAAAGTATAATTTACATATCACTTTAATTAGACGGCATAAGTTGATTTGTTGCGTAACTTTAAACATTATCACGTTCAAACTGAATAAGACCATATTCTGTAAACAGGAGAGTCGATATTTCAATAGTCGGATATCCGATGTTGTGTTCTGTATTGGTTATCCGTTAATTGAGAATGTTTTTTAATTGCATTGTTTTAGAGTTCGAATTGGGTGGGCTGAACTGATGAGATGGTTAAATACAGTAAGCCAGTCCATCCAGCATATGTAATTAATCTGTATAGTTGATCTATAGCGATAAATACTAAAATACCGTACGCTGTCAGTCGGTTTGTCCTTCGATTACTGTGCAACTAGCGAACCGGTCAATCTAGCTTACATTGC